AAAAAAATTTCATGTTCAGTACAGAAAAAAAAAGGTAAGAAGATAAAGAAAGTGTATGGGACGCTTAAAAGTTTCGTTCAATTAGATATTTGACTGATGTTGCTGTATAGGTAATAAAAAGACGTCACTGAGATTGACAGCGAAAGTGGCAAAACGGGATTACAGGTCGACACGACAATAGCGAAAAAAAAAGGAGGGGAAGACCGGGGAAAGGGTGAGAGATAGTTGGATGCCGAACATACGAGCAACATAGAAGGGCCGTTTCACATCAGGAGATATCATCGTTGCAATGTTGTTGTCCACCAACAGCAGCAGCACTACTACCATCAAAACAAAATTTATTCACTCATTCAATTGTCTACCGATTGTTGTGGTCATTATTTCCCTACTGTTGTTACCGCCATTAACAGTGGACGCTCTTCCGACCGAACTTGATCCATTTCTCGAGATACTTTTTGAAACATCAGAATGTTAGTTAGTTGAGCTCGTTTAATTTATTCATTGGTTTCATCTACTCTTTTTTGTTGCTTATTTACAGAAACCTTTCAATTTTGTTTAGTATCCCAAACCATCAGTTGTGTGAGTTTATTGCTGAAGACAATTTTTTCTTCAAGTGCAACAAAGTTTTAGCTGCTCTTATTGGATAAAACTAAACTTTTTTTCAAGGGAGACATTTTTTATTATAATAATGGCAAAAATTAGTACCACTGCTAATAATAATGATAATAACAAAAGTAATATTTGGCAGTAACAGTATTTACTGTTTATGACGTTTAAACTTTATGGTAATAGTAGCTTAGATGTGTTTTTTTTTTCTTTTTTTGTTAAATTACTGAGAAAAGACATTGAAGTTAGCTGAAAAACTGAAAAAACATTGATATAACGCTTGATATTTCAGCAATTTTTTTTGCGGAACAAACAGGATCATTTCTTATTCTTTTTTTTGCTCGAATTTATTGACAAATAATATTAAGAGAAAAAGGATCTCTCTTTTTTAATTTTTTCAACAACTGTACAAAAATTTTTGGCAGCATTATTGTCATTTGAAGCAAGTTTTAAGTGACTTTTGTCACTGTTACAACTGATGCCGTAAACTAAACAGCATAATATCAGTTAAATGAAGCAAAATGATTCGTACAACAAATATAATGAGGTGTCACTGTGTGTGCGTCTGTATGTCTGTGTTTCTGTGTGTCTGTATGTCTGTGTTTGATGTCGTAAGTGGCGATTAAATAATGGGCGACAGTTTGTTGATATCTATTGATGAACACTGATCATCGGCACAGAAATGCTGTTGCATTAACAGCTGATTATTGTTTGAACTGCCATTATGAAAAATGTTCAAACGGTTCGTTGAAAAAAAAGATACAAACGTAAATTTTTTTTAGTTTTGGAAGCGACACTTATCGGATGACGATGGCCACAGTAGGATACATTTTTTGCCATTTGTTACTTTTTCCTTGTCGTATTTGTAGCCTTAGAATTTTGGAGGGGAGACGGAAAAAAGAGAAAATGTGAGCCGAGATTTTACAATTTTATTGGATGCTTCCAATAGAATTCTTTGTTCTACCACTTTGTTTTAATTTTTTTACTTGTTTGTTTTTGTTGCTCAGATTACACAGAATAGGTACTAAAGTCACCTGTCATTAGATTTTTGACAGTTTAAAAACATTAACGTAC